ATCTTGCACTGTGCTGCACACAAAGACCAGCCAGAACCCAAAGGGGAGGTGGGACATGGGTAGGTGACTGTGCAATCCTGGCAAAGTTTGTTCTTTTTTAAAGGTGACTATTGATGACAGAGCTGATTGTTACCAATAGCAGGTGATTTCTAGGTGAATTCCTGCCTCCCTGAAGCCCGTAGGAGGCTTTAGTGCTGATTAGGTGCCAGGGGAGTCCCCTCTAGACGTGGAAACATCAATGAGGATGAGAAGAGAGGGGCCAGGAAGAGATTAAATTTCGTGGTGCGGTTATGAAGATGAACATCAAGGAGGAACTGGAGAACCAAAAGCAGCCAGATCAGGCTTCAAGTTCAAGGGGCTGGGTGTGAAATGAGGGAGAAATGACGTAATAGTTGAAGAAACTGAAGGGTGACGGAAGTATTATCTTAAGGGTAAAAAGTAACAGTGGGTTGTATGAAAGCTGAGAGGAGCCAAATTGGAGAGTGAGAGCCAACAGATGATGGAAGCTAGAAGAGCACAGGTCAAGTCAAAGATCTGAGATGCTGGCTGAAAAGGACGTATGATGGATCCTTGGAATTTCAGGAGGAGGAAAGAAGGGGCTGAAGGAGGAGAACTGTTAGTTACAGGGCAGGGGAAGTGGAGGAGGAGAGCTCGCCTCTGCACAAACGTGTGCCCGAGCAAGTCTCGTCTTTGCTTTCAAGTTGTTGTGCGTCAAACAATTTAGGCCAAACTGTTTTTCCTTCTTTTTTTTTTTTTTGTTACACTCCCCCACACTGGGTGACTTCACTGGTAGCTGTCAGCACCAGGCTGCTTTCATGCACCTGAGAAAGGTGTGTTGAATTAGGCTGACGAGCGCTGGGAAGTAGGAGCTTGAGAATTTGGTACTCCCCTGCTTGAGTTGTAAGGTTGAATATTCGTCTGAGAATTAGTTAGAAAAAACCCCAACAGCCTCAGCAGGGTTTGTGTCATGCTGTGTCTGTTAAGATCCTCTTTCACTGCTTAGTGTTCATGCACTGGTAGTATCCTTATCCCTGAGGCTTTAGGAGTTTTTTTGTAAGGTTTTGGAGGAAGCATATCTGTGTGGTCCCTTACCTAGCTCTGGTATTTCTTCCACAGAGGATTTCAAGATAAAATGTATTCTCTATTAGTTGGGGGAGCTTTCGCCTCGATATCTGAAATCTAGAAAGTATCTTGTATTTATTTTTTTTTTTTTTTGTAGATTCTGAACTATTTCGGAAAAGTCAAAATAAGAACCACGTTGGTGACAAAGAATGAGCCCTACAAGCCACACCCTCACGATCTGGTTGGCAAAGACTGCAGAGATGGCTACTACGAAGCCGAGTTCGGGCCAGAGCGGCGAGTCCTGTCGTGAGTAATGGTGTTGCTTGGGAGTTTGATTAATTATGCAAGTGATTTGCTAATCTTGTGTTTTAAAACTCAGACTAATGATTAAAAGAGCAATTAGAATGCTGTCTTTGCTATAGTTTACTAATCCATCCCAGGGAGAGGGCAACTTCTCTTTGAAGTATTTCCTTCTTTTTTGGCACCACACATGTGCTTTTTCTTTCCTGTCACCCTTTTTTTATTCATTCTCCCAATATCTGTCTTCTTTTCCTTTCTCCCACTTAGTTACTTTTTTAGTCTTGTTCAGTAACACATCTTAGTCTTGAGCATGACTCTTTGCTACATGTGAAAAGGATGAGTAATAGAATGGGTAACAGTGTTAGAATTAGTACTTCAGGGTGTTGAGGGAAGTTCACATCTTCCATGGAAATTATATTTGGGCTTTCTGGAGAAAGTTTGTACTGGCTGGCTGTCATGTAATTTAGAAGGTAGTGGTTGTGACACATCTAGAAGTGTGTTAGTGGCTGTCACTGTTGTTGCTGTTTGTTTGGGTTGGGGTTTTTTTAAGTGAAAATACAGATTCTACTCAGTCCCTGCTGTGTAGAGCAAGTGTGCAGGGGAAGGATCTGTCTGCTTGCGGGTGTAGTACAGAAAATTCAGGCTGTATAAGAGATGTGTTTCTCAGTTCTATTAAGAATATCTCAAATACAGTTGTATTTGATGGCATTTCCTGTGAGCTTACCAAGCCTTGTATAACAAAATAAAAGCAGAACGAATGCAGCAAATGTGGAGTGATTATTGCCAGAGAGGGGAATTTAGAACTGACAAGCTGTTTGTGGGTCACAGTTTGCAATGCAGTGAATTTGGAAGCAGGCTGTTGCTGTGGGGTAAACGTAACTGAGGTGGGAAGAAAATCAGGTAGATATTTCAGTGTATAAGTGGCTCTCACACACAGCTCTGAGGCCGCTGGGATTCTGTTTGTGTCAGAGGAATTACTGTGTTCAGTGGAGTTTAGTCAGTAGGACACTATGAAAGGAGAGAGAGCTGAGACACATCTGTTTGAAGGTGGTGATTGCCTGATGGTGAAACAAGCAGTGGAGATGCTTCTCCAGCATCCAGGCCAGGCTCCAGGGATCACGAAGGCACCTCGGTGCATTCCGGTGGCACGGAGCACGTTGGCAGGCAAATATCCCAAACTGTTGAGGGCCATTGCACCTTCCCCTGACCATCCACTCACCAGCTTCCTTTTGTCTTCTCAAATCAAGCTTCCTCAGCCAAGGTCAAAGGGAGTCTGCTGTTGTAGCTCATCCCACTTCCTCCCCTCAGCTCTGTGCCTTCCCATCCGCAGCAAAAAAGCCAGATTGCTTAACGCCATTTCTAGGTTTGTTTTGCACTCACGGATTGCAGGAAGACTCTGGTGATTGTTCTTCCTCTTAGCATTTTCTTGCACAAGGTTAAATGTGTAAGCATGAGGCAAGCCTGTTAGAGAGGCCGTTATAATGCCAGAAAACACTGGGATGCTCTGCAAATGTTTATTTGCAGATTTTGATGTAATCTCCATTCTTTGACACGATGCCACGTCTCCATTTCTCTTCAGGCACTGGTGCTTGTTTGCTTTATCCATGTTATCCATGAATTCTTCCCAATGTTAGGGTTTAAACCTCTCAGTTTCTTACAGAACACTAAGTGGGCTACTTTCCCTTAATTGATAATGGGAAACTGTCAGCCTTGAGCTTGACATTGGAGGTGGGAGGAGACTCCAGACATTCCCTTTGAAATGTTTCCAGCATCAGTACACTCATTTTTTTAACAAATCATTGGTTGCTTTAAGATGAAAGAACAGCATGATCCATAATTGGATCTGGATGTTTAAAGTCATTTTCCTTTTTGTGGCTGGTGACTCAATCTTCACATTCTTCTCTTCAAGTCCACGTTGGAGAAAAGCCTCATCCAATACTTAGTGAGCAGGAGATGTCCTCTCTCACTGGTGATTCTGGCTCTTTGCTCCTACTGAGCATCCCAAGTGGAGCAAAAATCCAGTTTTATTTTTTTTTTTCCCTTTCGGTAGAAGCGGAATTATTAATCGCAGATTTTGGGCTGCTCTGACTAATTGCTCTGCATTGTGCTGTTTGAAATTCCCCATGTTTGAAAGTTCCCAAAGCATTTTGTTCTGCCTGTGGAACAGTGATCTTTGTACTGCTGCCCAAATTTGATCAGAGCCCTCCCTGGCCGAGACATCAAGGCAAGAGTTTGAATGTTGCAGCTTGTGGGGCTGCCTGTGTACTCAGATTCTTACTTCCTAGTTTGCTGTCTCTCTACATGGATGATATCATAGTTTTTTTTAGATGTTTTTCATTTTTTTTTCTCTCTCTCTTCCTACTTCTCCCTCTGCCTTCTCGTTATCTCGGCTGCTTCCTGTCAGCTCACGTCGATGTGAAACCCCACAGCCCTGCTGGGGTTCTCAGAGTTCCTCCTCTGGCCCAGCCCTCTGCTCAGCAATAGTTAAACAGACACTTTCACTGTGACAGCACAGCTTTAGAAAACATTTATAATCTGAGAGTTTTGGGGTGCTGAAAAGCCTCATTCTGTCCACGAGACGCTTTGTTTGGGGATATAACGTGGAAACTTCCATCGGCTTTGAAGTGTGCTCCAGGCAATCTCTGGAATACACTGGGTATTCTGGAGGGGGAAAAAAAGTGGTGTGTGCTGTAATCAAGCCCTAAAAAAAACTACTTCCTACAAGAGCAGGTGGAAATAGGGTTGGCCATCGAGGTGCAGTTCCAGTCTTGACTGTCATTCCTCCGTGCACTCCTCTAGTGAACTGTGGTTCTGGAAGTGCAGCCTGATGGCAGAGGATTTGGGAACCTCTGAACAGAGCATATTGGGCACAGACAAGGGAGTTTAATTTCCTTAAACTTAACATCATGCCAGGATAGTCTCGTTCAGGAGAGCGGTGTTTGGAAGGAGGAGGATCTTTAGGTGCAGTAGGTTTGTGGAGTTTCAAAGGAAGGGAAATGGCTGGTGCTTCTGGAGAAAGATGCCTGCTGGCACAGCCCATCTTCAGAGCTTTATTGTCACATCATGAAACACAGATCATTTTTTTAATTTTTTTTTTTTTTTTTTTTTTTTTTTTTTTTTCTTTTTTTA